AAAAAAAAAAACCAGGGTAAGGGTAGGTCCCACTTACTCCTGTTGAACTCTCTATCTCCAAGAATGGATGGGAGCTAGCGACTCAGGTATAACCTCATGGTCGACAAATCTTTGGGCAGAACTGTCCAATCTGTACCCCTTCCCAGCACACACTGTAGAGCAACTGCTAGGAGGCATTAGAAAATTGGGAGCTATAGTCTAGGAGTCTGGTTTTCCATTTTCTGCCCTATAGTCAACACCCAGCTGAGGCGAGGCACTGCTGTCTCCAGTGCCACTTGCCTTCCAGGGACTCTGCTTCATGGATATGGGTCTCTGCCCAAACGGTAGATTGACCCTAGGGATATGTGCCTGTACTGGCTTCTGGGTTGCATGGCAGTCTACAGATGGCACCACCTTAACTGTAGGTATGACTTATGCACCTTCCCACTCTATTAAACGGGAGATGATAAACTGAATTTCAGCTGTCTGGAAGTCTTTCCCAAATCACTTTTTATTGCATCAGAGATTGAACGCTGGGAAAACACACTGCTACTGAGCTACAGCCCCTCAAATCACCTCCCCACAGGAAGCTTCCAATACTCGGCTTCTATACTCGGACTTCCCAAATCCAAGTTACCAAAATAAAACAAGAACACACAAAACTAAATCTAAAAAATACTACAAAGGAAGCCACTCAAAGTTCATCTTGTATCTTGCTTTGACAAAAATGATCCCTGGCCTGGGTTGGAGACATTTTCTTCCAGCTGGAGAAAACCAGACAAGTCTAAGCGTTCCTCCTAAACAGAGGAGGCACAAGCTGCTGTGCTGGAGCACAGAATAGCACATCTGTTTTTGCAAAGAGCCACACTCAGTTATTAGCCTAGTGACTCTCAACAAAGACAGCTTTGTCACCAGGAAACATGACAACGTCCAAAGAAATTTTTGGTTATTACAAATGAAGGCTGCTACTGACATCCAGTAAGCAAAGACCAGGCATGCTACTAAACATCTTACATCTTCAGGACAGTCTCTTCATGCACAATTTTAAAAAAAAGATCCAGGGGCTGGTGAGGTAGCCCAGGGTAAGAATGTGTGATGCTCCTCAAAGGACCTAGATTTGGTTATTTGCATCTGTATGACTGTAACTCATTCCTGGGTATCCAACGCCCTCTGCTGGCCTCTGCAGACATTGCACACATGGTGCACTCCCACAAATGAATTTTTTTAAACTTACTTAAAAAAATATATTTATTTATTTATTTATTATGCATACATGTTCTGCCTCCATGTATACCCACAGGCCAGAACAGGGCACCAGATATCATTACACAGAGTTTGTGACCCACCATGTGGTTGCTGGGAATTGAACTCAGGTCCTCTGGAAGAGCTGCCAATGCTCTTAACCTCTGAGCCATCTCTCCAGCCCCCCATTTTTTAAAAATTATTTCTTTAAAAAACAATGATCTAATCAGATAGTGGTGGTGTACACCTTTAACCCCAGCACTCAGGAGGCAAAGGCAAGTGGATCTCTGAGTTCAATGCCAGCCAGGACAGTCTCAGCTACACAGAGAAACCCTATCTTTAAAAACAAGGGAAAAAAAAAAAAAAAAAAAAAAAAGAAGCCGGGTGGTGGTGGCAAACACCTTTAGTCCCAGCACTCAGGAGGCAAAGGCAGGTGGATCTCTGTGAGTTTGAAATCAGCCTGGTCTACAAGAGCTAGTTCCAGGATGGCCTCCAAAGCTACAGAGAAACCCTGTCTCAAAAAAAAAAAAAAAAAAAAAAAAAAGAAAGAAAGAAAGAAAGAAAGAAAGAAAGGGGGAAAAAAGGAAAAAGGAAAAGGAAAAAAAGAAAGGAAGGAAGAAACCCTGTATTTGGCCCAATCACATTTGGCCCAATCACATTAGCTCTCAATTATTAACTTTGGTTGATGTTCATTAGACTCCCCCCACCCCGTGGGCTGGGTCTCACAGTCCAGGCTGGCTTCCAACTATGTTGACAGTGATGACACTGTAGTTTTGATCCTCCTGCCTCCACCACACCCAAAAGGCGGTTAACACTCTATCAATGAAGCTATAGCCCCAAGTCCCTTTATTCCCCTTTCTTTTTTTATAGCCACTTCAGCAAACACTGTGGCATCCTGTTTTAAACCCTTTAAAAATGTAAAACTTAGAGCTTGTGGACTGGTTCAGCAGAAAAAGGGGTTTGTAATCAGGCCAGACTACCTGAGTTTGCTCCCTGGATCACAAGGCTAACAAATAATAAGCAGGAGTGGTATGGCGCGCGCGCGCACGCACGCATGCACGCACACACACACACACACACACACAGAGAGAGAGAGAGAGAGAGAGAAATAAATTTAAAATGTAAACACCATAATGTAGGTCTGTTGGTAGGATGCTGGCCTAAGCCAAGTGTGGTGGTACACACCTTTAATCCTAGCACTTGGGAGGCAGAGGCCAGCCTCTTTGAATTTGAGGCCTGATCTACAGAATAAGTTTCAGGCCAGTCTAGGTTACATAATGAGTTTCTGTTTCAGTAGTTAGTGGGTTTCATTGTTATTTGTTTGTTTTAGTTTTTCAAGGCAGGGTTTCTCTGTGTAGCTTTGGAGCCTATCAACTAGCTCTTTTAGATCAGGCTGGTCTTGAACTCACAGAGATACAACTACCTCTGCCTCCCGAGTGCTGAGATTAAAGGTGTGTGCCACCACTGTCCAGCTCAGTAGTTCGTATTACTACTATTACTACTATTAATTATATAATGCTTGCCTAGCATGCATGATGCCCTAGGTTTGATTCCCAGAACCACATAAAACTGGAAGTTAAGCCAGGTGGTGGTGGTGGTGGCGGCGGCGGCGGCGGCGGCGGCGGCGGCGGCGGCGCACACCTTTAATCCTAGCACTTGGGAGGCAGAAGCAAGTAGTTCTCTGAGTCTACAGAAAGTTCCAGGACAGCTACACAGAGAAACCATGTCTCAAAAAAACACAAAACTAAAACCAAAGCGAATTTGAGGCAAGCCTTGGTTACATGACACTCTATTTAATCCCAGCACTCAGGAGGCAGAGGCAGGCAGATCTCTTGAATTCGAGGCCAGCCTGGACTACTGAGTAAGATGTCCAAAGCTAGAGAAATCCTGTGTCAAAAAGAAAAAAAAAAAAAAAAAAAAAAAAGGGTAAAAACAAAAACTACTCTCAGCTCTGGGCCATTTAAAAAAAAAGAAGAAGAAGAAAAAGAAAAATAGGTCTCAGGCCATCATTTGTCAACTCTATAGGGTGTCATCAGAAAACAAGGAGTCAAGGACTCTGGTGTCAAGCTCTAGAATGTAGAGCCTGTTGTTCTCAGCTGGGATGGGCAGTGGTGCAAGTTATCCATCTTCTAAAACAAGAAACAGGGACCTTCCAAAAATAGTCTACCACCCATTGTGCTCTGAGGTGCACCCACCACCTCAACCCTGTGACCAGCTGTCCACATGACAAGGAACACCTTAGCATTCACCTTACTCAAACATTGAGATGTCTAGGTATATATTGATTTCAAGAAACATTCTTTCCATCTCAGCAATTGCTCTCATTTGGCACATAAATGACATAAAATCAAGACTTTAGGTCAATAAACTCAAGCTGTTCACAAGCTCTTATGTGTAAGTATCCATTTCCATGAGCATGTGAGCACCTCTTCCTGTCTGTGGCCCCTTAGGGAGGTCTGTCTTTCAGGTGTACTAATGATGCCTGCCACAAGATGGTGGGAAACTCCGTGAAACTGAAATCTGTTGGGCCCGGAAATTACGAAGTGTCTTGAGTCTTTTCTCAGATTGCAGATAAATCCTATTGATGCTTTTTTTTTCTTTTTCCCTAACAGTCTGCTGTCTCTATGTGGGGTGGAATGAAAAAAAGGCTATTCTTCCCTAGGACAGAGAAAAGTGACGCAAGCTCTGTTAGATTATCAATCGTATAAAGAAGTCTGGCCTGGACCGATGGAGGGATAAGCTCTGAGGTCAGTGCTACTGAGTGAACAGGCTGATTCATAAAGGGGTATATCACCATGGGAAATATTCAGAGCCTATCAGGATAGTTAACTTATAGGCAGTTTCCAAATGTCATAAAAGTTCAGTATTGTCTGGCAACTCAGCATGAATAACAGGACATAACTTTTAATACTCGAGGCTTCACTTTTAAGTTTTGCTGAGGAAACAATCTTAGATATAGAAAAAACTGGACAGTAAACTGGGCACAAGCAGACACGGGTTTCTGACCAAAGCTCCTCCAGTGTGGCGTCAAGTAGGGTCTGGACTGGATGACCCAACACTCCAGTTTCGCAGTGCTTCATTTCCAGCCCCTGCACAAGGCTAGTTGACGCGACAAGCCCGGATCATGAGCAGCTGCAGGAGAATGAAGACTGGAGACGTGATCAGGCCGAACCAGAGCTCTCGAGTCTGCTCCACTAGCTTCTGGCACAACAGCATCTCAAAGACAAACTTGAGGCTAAGAACCGTGAGAACCCAGAAAAGGCGCAGTACAGCTAGTCGCTTCTCCCCGTCTTGGAAGAGGCGAACAGACACGATGGTGGTGAAGTAGGTGCTGAGCCCGTCGGCGGCGAAAAAGGGCACAAACACGTTCCACCAGGAAAGCCCCGGGGCCAAGCCGTCCACTCGCAGTGCCAAAAGCACGGAGAACACCAACAGGGCCAGCAGGTGCACGAAGATCTCAAAGGTGGCGAAACCCAGCCACTGCACCAGCTCCCGCAGCGAGAATAGCATCGCGCCTGTTTAATACCGGCCGGAATGCGGCCGACGGCGCCTCGCAACGGGCCGTGCCCGCTTCGTCCGAGGGCCTGGCTATCGCCTGCTGCCAGCACTGCACACGCGATGCAGCAAGCGGAACCCGGCCCCAGCGCTCCGCTGTTCTCCAGACCTCAAACCTGGACCCGGAACTGGATGCTAGCGAACGCCGGAGGTTCAGACGCTATCCCCACCCACCAAGCTCGCGCTGACGCAGCCTAAATACGTCATTTCCTGTTGACAGCGGAAAGGGGAAGTTAGTGGTGTGTAGGGTTCTGTCCGGCGTGTGTAGTAATGCAGGTTCCGCAGCTACTTGTGCTTTTCGGCAGCCAGACTGGCACAGCCCAGGATGAAGCGGAGAGGCTGGGTCGCGAGGCCCGGCGCCGGCGGCTAGGTTGCCGTGTGCAGGCGCTGGACTCTTACGCGGTGGTGAGGCTCGGGTGATACGGCGGAGACCCTCCACCGGACCTCGCGTCCTCGAACGGAGGACGTTTGAGTGCTGCCCTACGGCCTCAGGCGGATTTAGGGGAAAGGCGGGCTTGGCACGAAGGCCTGGTAGCCCCTGGGAATAAGTCTCCAAACACTTTACTCTTGTTACCCTAGTTGAATGGGGTTGGGTGGGGGTGTTGCGGTGGGGGGGACTGGTTAGGACTGTCAGAGACCTTACACATACCCGTGTCTTGTCCTTGAGGCGAATCTCATTAGGGAGCCCCTGGTGGTATTTGTTTGTGCGACCACAGGCCAAGGAGACCCTCCTGACAACATGAAGGTAAGGCTAGGCTTATGTGGACCCTCACCCCATTTTCATTTCTATGGGAGTCCCTGGGAGCACAGGAAATAGCTGGCCTTCGGTGCATGTTGTATATGAGACGTGGCTTTGAGAGATATTCTTTGAATGGATCAGGTAGAGAAATAGCTCTTAATAGCCACTCAGTAGCCTTGATTTCTATTTTTAGCCCTTTTTTTTTTTTTTTTTTTTTTTTTTTTTTCTCCCAGACCTACATAGGAATCTGGCCTGAGTCATGTATTGAAATTTAAAGTTTGTAACATTCTTTAGGGTTTTTTGTTTTGTTTTCTCAAGCACATATATTTCTGGCACCATATGGGACATAGCAGCCACATTTCTCCTACATTGAGCTCAGTGATAGAAACAGCAGGATTAATGGCCAGTTACCAGAAAAATACCAGATGCCAGATGTTCTGGGAGTGGGGGCAGTCATGGAATCGGACACAGCTTTTTGGAAGAAAAGAACACACCTTTAATCTTTGCACTTGGGAGGCAGAGGGAACTCTGTGAGTTCTAGACCAGCCTAGTCTGTGTAGTTACTTCCATGCTAGCCTGACTACATAATGTCTCCAAAATAAATAAAAGATAGGGGCAGGTGGTGGTAAGAAACACACTGTGTGAAGGTCAGAAAGTTGAGGATTCCTCAGCCACAGACTGTGCTGGTAGAAAGAGGGAAGGAAGAAAGTTTCATTCAGAAAACTTGGGTGGCACAGTGCAACACCTGGGCTTAAGATGAAAGCTATAGGAACAACTATGGAAGTGACACAGTACCCCTCGAGTTGTAGCAAGACCAGACCTGTCTGAAGGTAGCAAGAGTAATGCCAGGGAATGCGCCACCACAAGCAAAAGGTGTTCATGTGGTTTAAGATGGATGGTGGCACAAGGCAGAATAAAACAGGCACATTCCAGAGAGGCCAAAAAGATAGAGTCATGAGAGGAATGTAGAAGATGAGGAAGGACAGAACCACAACACAGGAAACAGGATATACTGTAGTTCCACCTGTAGAGTGAGTGGATCTGGTTGGGCAGGTGCTAGGAGATACCCAGACGAACTACAGTTAGCTGTGTAGTACTAGGAGGGTCTTGGCATGAGAGTAACTGTTAAAACAAACAAAATAAAATTGTGAAAAAACAAAGTCCCTATCTCCTCCAGGACTGCCATCTAGCATGGTCATGGCCAGACAGAGTTCCCCTTTACCTAGGTCAATGACAAGAAGATGGGAGTCTTGAGAGGAGCAGCAGCCATCAGAGGTGAACTGAAGTAGAATAAAAACCAGTCTGGAGAGGTGTCCCTAGGGGCAGTGGTACTTGCTAAGGAGAACAGTATATGTGGGGTAGAGACTATAATCTCAAACATAGAGCTTGAGAAGCTGAAGTAGAAGGATCAGGAGTTCAAGGATGCCCTCACCTACATGACAATTGTCTCAAAAGTTAAAAAACTATCAGCCACATATGCTGGCATTCAACCATAAACTCAGCATTCCAGAGATTGAAGCTTAAGGACCATGAGTTTGAGGCCAGCCTCAAACTTGATTCGAGCAAAACCACACCTTAAAAACAAGAATTTAATTAAAAAAAAAAATAGCTAAGAAAGTGCCAAGGATCTGAAGGAATAGAGACCTCCCTCAGGTTTGAGGTCTATGGACAGATAAGGTAGCCAGCCCCCCCCCCCCCAAGAGTAGGAGTCAGTAGTGTCTGACTCAGTCACAACAGGAACTGGAGGCCTTTGAAGAGGCTACAGACCCAACACCAAAAACACACAAGGGCATGGCTCTTGTGACTGACAGTCTGCTGAACAGGAAGACTTTGGCCTCTCTGCCCTGGTCTTTAAAACACATTGGAATCACAGGAAAAGATCCAGTAACTGGGTTTTTGCCCATCCCCTGCTGGTGAAACCCGCTGTGGGGTATGCATGTCCTAGACCTTTTTCCTCAGCCTCCCCAGTACAAATGGCTCTCTCTCTCTCTCTCTCTCTCTCTCTCTCTCTCTCCCACACACACACACACACACACACACACACACACACACACACAGAATGAATGAATGAATGAATCTGCTTGAGTGAAGACTCCAGGGAAAGGCAAGTAAAGGAAGTCATACAATGAAAGGAGGAGACTGCAGCCTGAGACAGTGACCACATGCTTATGTAGGGGCCTACAGAGAGCAAAGGGGCAGTCACAGAGTGTGGGGAAGAACAGCATGACAGAGGGCAATAAGTAGGTACCACTGGCTTCTCAGCAGTAGTCACCAAACTGGAAAAGTCAGTGTAAACCCAGAGTTACAGGGCATTAATCAGTGAGTTGACACCTTCAGAGACTCAGGGCACACCCCCATTTCCCCTTTTTTTTTTTTTTTTTTTTTTTCCCCAGAAGACTTTGGTCACAGCTTCTGGCTGACCCACCACTACAGTAATAGGGAAGCAATTGGTGGGTTGCAACTGAATTCATCCCTTAGACCAGAATAGGAAGAATAGTTTAAGTACACTGCAAGATGGCATCAGGCTGCCCTAGTAACTAGATTACCACTTACAGCATGGGGCATTAAGGTACCAGTCTCAATTTATGAGAAATATTTACACAGTTAGGATAAGTTTTCTTTGTGTACAGGTTCCTGATCTGTAGTTTGCACCATGTGAAGGAGAGATGTCTAGATTGGCCAGTGTATACTTCTAGACTCTGATGGTCTTCCTTATACACCATCCTCTCCCAGCTGGGGCCTCAGACAGACACCAAAAACCAGCCTGAGCTGGGGTCCTAACATGGTCTCCTGTGGCTACAGAACTTCTGGAGGTTCATATTTCGGAAGAGCCTGCTGCCCACCTCCCTTTGTCAGATGGATTTTGCTGTCCTAGGCCTCGGGGACTCCTCATATGCCAAGTGAGTAGGGGTGCACAGGCTGGCCAGATAGGGGTCATTCTCAAGATCAAGCAAGAAATTAGCAACTGAGCCCCCAGGTGCCCATCCACTAGACCACACATCCCTGCACTGTGTTGCTGATCAACCTTATCCACAGATAATCCCTGGTAGGCACCCTAATTCTTGTAAGGCCTTTGCACAAAGGAGACCATAGTTAGGGAAGGAATTCCGTCCACAGACGGAATTCAGGGCATGAGGAGGCTTGGACCAGCCAGCATTACATTACAACATATGATGAAGTTTATCAACACCTGATCTGTGAGGTATTGACAACTTGAAAAGAGCACTGAGATGGACAACTTACTTGCAAGTGACTTATCCCACATGGAGACAGCTCATGGGTTTTCTCTTCCAGGGTTTTTGTGGACAGCTGTGTCCCTTAACAAGCAGTGTTCTTTGCTGGGGTGATAATTAGAGATTTCTGCTCAGAGGTGCAACTAGATCTGTAATACCTAAGACAGCAGCACTTTGAACATGTCCTTTTTTTTTTTTTTTTAAGATTTATTTATTATGTATACTGTGTTTGCTCTGCCTGCATGTGTACCTGCAGACCAGAAGAGGGTACCAGATCTCATTATAGATAGTTGTGACCTACCATGTGGTTACTGAGAATTGAACTCAGATCCTCTGGAAGAGCAGCCAGGGCTCTTAACCTCTGAGCCATCTCTCCAGCCTCCCCCCCCCCCATGTCCTGTTTTCAAAGGGCCCACTATCATCCAGCATTGAAGGCCACTCCAGCACCATAAAAAGTTGTGTACATGGCAGGGTTATTTTTTAATTTTGTGTACACCAGTCCCCTGGAACTGGAGTTACAGACAGTTGTGAGCTGCCTGTGGGTCCTGAGAATTGAACCCAGGTTCTCTGGAAGAGCAGTCAGTGCTCTTAACTACTGAGCCATCTCTTCAGCCTCCATCTCAGGTTCTAAACCTCTTTAGATAAAAACAGAAAATGGAAGCTTGGCATGATGGTTCCTCACTCACCTGTAATCAATCCCAGCACCAAGAGACTACAATGAGAGCATTGCCACAGTCTCCAGGCCAGCCTGCCCTACAGTGTGAGACCCCATCTCACTAAACCCAAAAGAATAGAAAATCAGGAGATGGGCAGCAACGTGGCTGGTTTTGCTCACTGAATGCCTGTGGATGCACAGAGCATGTGGGAGGGAGTCCAACTATGGATGTGGTCCCCAAGAAGAAAAGCTAGTTCAGGGACCAGTGTGTCTTTCAGACCAAAGAAAGGAAATCCTCTTACATGAAAACATGGTTATCTGTCCCTTTTTCCAACCTCAAATGGCAACTAGAACCTTGACCAAAGGGAGTCCAGGGCCTTGGTCACTTCAAGAAGTATGGGTTGATAAATAAAATGCAATTGTCCTCCATATGGCACCTTGAGATGAGGGAATCTACCATTTGTGTTCCTTTTTTTTTTTTTTTTTTTTTTTGGTCGGGGGGGGGGGGTTCGAGACAGGGTTTCCCTGTGTAGCTTTGGAGCCTGTCCTGGAACTAGCTCTTGTAGAACAGGCTGGTCTCAAACTCACAGAGATCCACCTGCCTCTGCCTCCCGAGTGCTGGGATTAAAGTCGTGCACCACCACCGCCTGGCACCATTCGTAGTCCTTGTTGCTCCAATCTCCCATCCCCTGCATGCTTAAGCCCCACCCCTTCCTAGGATTCTGCCAATGTGCACTGCTGAGAAATAATCCTTGAGGGAAGCCGGGTACTATTTACTCTGCTCTAGAGGTCAGCTAGACTACCTCTCATCACTGTTGGTTGTCCCAGCCAACCTTGCTGTCTTCACAGGTTCAACTTCGTGGCCAAGAAGCTACATCGTAGGCTGCTGCAGCTAGGAGGCAGTGCCCTCCTGCCACCATGTCTAGGTGATGACCAGCATGAGCTGGGGTAAGTGGTGGTTGCAGGGTACCTCTCTGGCATCCCATCTTGGCTCTGGCCGGCAGAGGCCAATCCTTGTGCTCTCTCCTAGTCCTGATGCTGCCATTGACCCCTGGTTGGGAGACCTCTGGAAGAAGATAATGGGACTGTACCCAGTGCCCCTTGACTTTCCTGAGATCCCTCTTGGAGTCCCGTGAGTCTGAACTTTGGGTGTATGAATATCAAGGGACTTTAAGCTTGGTAGCACCCCTTCAAGGTATGGTTGAGTAGCCCCTGCACACCTGATATTTCCACTTTTCCCCACAGCTTGCCCTCCAAGTTCATATTCCAGTTTCTTCAGGAAGTCCCCAGCGTAGGAACTGAGGAGCAAAACATAGCCTGCTCAGCTCCTCAGAGACCCCCATCCGAGTTACAGCCCTTCCTGGCACCTGTGGTCACCAACCAGAGGGTCACTGGCCCCCAACATTTTCAGGATGTTCGACTGATTGAGTTTGACATTACAGACTCAAGTATCAGGTGAGGGGCCAAAGCCCTCAAGCAGTGGGTCAGAGTGCCCATTTGCTCTTAGGAAACTGGCATGGTCAGGGAAAAGGTAGGCAGTGGTAGGAGTTCAGAAGAGTCTACCAAAGCCAAGGCAGCCCATTGGCTCAGAGATCTCTACACACAGACCTCCAGCCTTCCCTGAATAATCCCCTTCTTTCTCTTCAGTATACTTAGTCCCTTTGTCCTCCCCCAAAGTACATACTCTCCCTTTTCCGTAGCCCTTTGTCTCCCCACACCATTCCCACATATCTGGTGACTTTTCTGTATAGTTTCACTGCTGGTGATGTCGTATTAATTATGCCCTCTAACTCGGAGACGCACGCCCAACAGTTCTGCCAATTGCTGTGCCTGGACCCCAATCAGTTTTTCAAGCTGAAGGCGAGGGAGCCAGGTGAGTATGGGAGATGCACCAACTCTTCAGGGCCAGGGCCTGATATCCCTGCCCACCAAGTCTTCATGCCATTCCTACAGGTGTCCCTTACCCACCAGGACTGCCTGAGCCCTGCACTGTGTGGCATCTTGTGTCACAGTATTTGGACATTGCCAGTGTGCCCCGCCGTTCCTTCTTTGAGCTCTTGGCTTGTCTTTCCCCACATGGGCTGGAACGGGAGAAGCTGCTGGAATTCAGCTCTGCCAGAGGTCAGGAAGAGCTCTGGGATTACTGTAATCGGCCCCGCAGGACCATCTTGGAGGTGGGCTATAGGCATGTAGGTGGGCATGGGCCCTTGAGCCATAACATACCACCACGCTAAGATTCCTTCTATCCAGGTGCTATGTGACTTTCCACACACGGCGGCTGCTATTCCTGCAGACTACCTATTGGACCTTATCCCTCAGATCCGCCCTCGGGCCTTCTCCATCGCCTCCTCCCTGCTGGTGAGGGTGGGAAAGCTGGGACTGGGAAGGGTGTTTGCAGACAGGGACTGTTTCTATACCAGAGGCTGTCCCTGGGTGGGGTTGGTAGCAGGCGGGAGTGGTTTAGTAGGGCAGGTCCTTCACTGTGTCCCTAGGCTCATCCCAGGAGGCTACAGATCCTTGTGGCTGTGGTAGAGTACCAGACTCGTCTCAAGGAGCCCCGCCGTGGCCTCTGTTCTTCCTGGCTAGCATCCCTGAATCCTAAGCAAGGTAATCCATATTTCTGGGGGCAGGAGAGACTATAGCCTCAAGCTCCCATCTTTCCCTGTGCCTCCTGCCACAGGATCTCAAGCCCTACTAGTGAGCACCTCAACCTTGTCTTTTGACCTCCTTCTCGCCATCTCCCTCCTGCAACAGGACTTGTCCGGGTGCCTCTATGGGTGCGGCCTGGGAGCCTAAGGTTCCCAGAGACATCAGACACACCCATTATCATGGTGGGGCCTGGAACTGGTGTGGCCCCCTTCCGAGCAGCCATTCAAGAGCGAGTGGCCCATGGTCAAACTGGTGAGTACAGGAGTCCCAGGGCAGTGTGACCACTGAGACTGGTCTGGCTGAATCCCTGCATCCAGATGGGGGGCCACCCTATGTACCCCAGGAAACTACTTGTTCTTTGGATGCCGCCAGCGGGATCAGGACTTCTACTGGCAAACTGAGTGGCAGGAACTAGAGAAGAAGGGCTGCCTGACCCTGGTTACAGCCTTCTCCCGAGAGCAGGTGAGTATACTCAACTTAGGTGGGGCAGGAGTAGGGATGGCTGAAACTCAGCTTCTGATACCTGCAGGAGCAGAAAGTATATGTGCAGCACCGGCTCCGAGAGCTAGGGCCGCTCGTCTGGGAGCTGCTGGATCGCCAAGGTGCCTATTTCTACCTGGCAGGGTGAGCCAACTTGGGAGTGTAGAGGAGTGGACCAGCCTACAGAGGTGGGAGTGGGGGTTGGGACCACAGGATCCCTGAGCTTTCTGAGGTCTGCCCCTCCAGCAATGCTAAGTATATGCCTGCGGACGTTGCGGAAGCCCTGACATCCATTTTTCAAGAAGAAGGACAACTCTCCAATGCAGACGCAGCTGCCTACCTTGCCAGGCTCCAGCAGACACTGCACTTCCAGACTGAGACCTGGGCCTGAGGAGCCACTTGCTAGCTCACAGCCACACTAACAGCTGCACTGGAAAACCTACTAGAGTCTGGAGGGCCCATTGTCACCTCCTGCCCTTCTCTGATCCCAGAACACTGGGTAGATTCATGGTGTGGCTTCTTGGCTCCAGCTGATTAGGAGAGCACTCCCTGAATTCAGCCAAACTCAGTGGAGCCCAGTGTCCCTCCCACACTTAATCCCAACCCCTGCGCAACCTACACTCCTGGTTTTCTCTCTGACCCCACATCTGCATTATGGTCCATTCCACCAGGGGGTTCTGTGAGGGCTGCATCACCTGTCTGCCCTGGTGCTGTTTCCATTCATCCCACAGCACCTGTGGGAGACCCTGGGGCTAAGTCTCCTGAGCACTGAAAATGAAAATCAGTCTGTCTGCAGGTCCTTAAACATCTCCAGTAAACTGCCTAGGCAACTACTCACTTCTGCCTTTTTGCTTCTCCTAGCTTTGAGGGTGGCAGGTGGGACATGGATTATCTGCATCTGCTAGTGGTGGCCAAAGATCCTTCCAGAGTATGTGCACAGGCTGTGTACGTGTGAGTCCTTGTCAGATACTTATGTTTGAGTCACACAGCATTTCGGATATGTAAGTTCCTGTTGGTGTCCCCTTTGTTCTTAGAGGGCAGGTCTTGGCTCTGTCTGATCATAAACCTTAACAGCTCAGCCAAGCTCATAGCCTTCTCTGATAGCCAAACAGAGAGGATCCAGAGAGCTATTGGAAATTCCCAGCCAAGTGCTAGAACACACTATCTGGAAGAATGAGCAGGTAGAGGGGGTGTGATATGAGTTGGCCCGCCCATGGGCGGGGCCTCTACCCCTGGAAAGAGAAACCCTGTTGGAGAAGTCAGACAGGTCCGAGGGCAGCTGGGAGTTCAGGAACCTCTGTTTTGTCCAACAACAGCTGGAATAGAGACCAGGCCTGGCCAACACCACTCTTAGGCCTGAGATACCAGGAGCTGACAATGCTGCACGGACCCAAGTGAAGTTAACTTCCAGTGGGGTCAGAGAGCCCAAAGGTGTATCTGAAGGTCAGTGCCCCAGTGACGAGATCAAGCTCTGCCTGGCTTCTGAGGGCCACACTAACCTTCGTACCCCATCAGTCCCTGCTGTCACCCTGGAGTCGCAGTCTACCCATCCTGACTTATGTTCTGGTGGTTCTGCTCTGGGGCCTAATGATACCAGCTCTGCACCCACCAGTTCACCTTGTGCTGCTTGGAGTCCTGAGCTCCTGGACCCACTGTGCCAGCTACCAGCAGATGAAGAGGATAATCTCATGGCCCCCCAGGGTGCCGGGACTACAGACAGTAAGCCTGAACTGGGAGCCAGAGATACAACTGGTGTCTGGGACCTGTCAACTATGGAGGAGCAGGAAGAGGGTGAGGGACAGGCAGAGGAGGAATGCCCCATCTGCACTGAGCCTTACGGGTCTGATGAACACCACCCAGCCCTGCTGAACTGTGGTCACAGCCTGTGTGTGGGCTGCCTGCACCAGCTGTTAGGAATGACCCCTAGAGCTGACCTGGGCCGTGTGTGTTGTCCACTGTGTCGTCAGAAAACACCCATGCTAGAGTGGGAGATCTGTCAGCTGCAGGAGGAATTGCTTCGAGCTGATGGACCCCAGAGCCCAGTGCCCATTGCGTCCACCATACCCCTGCGTCCTGGCCCTGGGCCCTGGGGATCCTTAGAGCACCGCTACCGGCTGCGTTTTCTGGCAGGGCCTGTGGGAGGCCGAAGCTGCCTCCCCTTCCTACCCTGCCCTCCCAGCCTAGGTACCTGGTTGTGGACACTGCGGGAACGTGGCCCCTGTGCCCGCCGCCTGTCACTGCTGAGCCTTCTGGCATTAGAACTGCTGGGGCTAGTGCTCATCTTCATGCCACTCATGTTACTAGGAGTGTTCTTCATGCTCCTGGACCGTTCCGGCCGCTAAGCAGAGCCCAGGATGTTGGCTAAGGTTTGAGGCCCATGCGCTCAGATTCTGGTAATCAGCAAAGACTTGCTATCACAATCCCAAGATCAGGCCTGCCCAAGAGCCTGAGCCAGCCAGAGTGCTTACACACCCCTGCAGCCCAGATACTGGCTAAAGCCAAGGACACTAAGCAAAGGACAGCCTCTGAAGGAGACTGGCCCAACAGGAAGGGCTGTGAACAAAAACCCATGTGCTTGCCATGGACAGACACTTTACTGGCCACAGGCATTCGCTGGGTCATAACACTGGCTCCTGAGGGCCAGCTGTCGAGAGTAGACATGTTTGAACAGAGATCTAGCAGTGATTTTGTTTATAGGAGAAGGCAAGGCTGCAGAGACCCTCTCACCTGATCCAGACAGAGGTTGGTGTGTGTCCCTGAAGGCCACAGTCGCTAGCAGGAGAGGCTTGCACTGCACAAACACAGCCTTTAAAAGCTCCTCACCCAACCTAAGATAACCCTCACCGGACAGGGCAGCCCCCAGAGCAGTTGGGGTCAATATTGGCTTTGTACTGCAACAGCCAAGGTTCAGTCCAGACCCTGAAGCCTGCAAATGCCCAAGGTCCAGCTCTGTTTCTAATTGACTACAATTACATGTCACTGAACTAGGAGCTCTCACTTGGAGGATGAAGACAAATGTAAGCCCACCTCGCCCCGGCTTATTGGTGACACAATGTAAGGTGGGTTGTTTCAGTCTATATCCAGTGTAAGAATGGCTCTCAATAAACAGTTGCTACTGATACCATTGTTACCAGTCATCCTCATTTTTACTCCATCTCTGCCATCCAGGCAGCTCTTCTCACACCCTTGAATGGTACCTATTCCAGTCACAGGCAGATAAGTACCGTACAGGAAACCGCTGGATCCTTGTCCCCGCCATGATCTTAGCCAGCTGTAAGCCTCTACTCATGTTGTCCAAAGGCCATTTCCATACATCCTTGATCAGAGGAAAGGTACTTTTTTTTTTTTTTTTTTTTTTTTTTTTTTGGAGGGGGTCACTGTGTAACCCATGCTGACCTCACAATTCTCCTGCATTAGCTTCCAGAGTGCTGAGACTACCAGTGGGCATCACTACACACAGCTGAAAGTTCTGTCTGCCTAGCTGGGTCACAGCCCCATGTGCCACATACCAGCCAGTCTTCTGCACCAATGTTTACAGCTAGTCCCAGGCATCCTGAACAGCACACTTGGCCCAGCTTGGCCATCAACAAGTAGAGCAGACTAACCTTGGATGAAGTTGGGTGGCCTTCTAGCAGCTCCTAATGAGACCCTGTCTGGGCTACAGCCCTGGAAACCTACCCTAGGCCCAAGCCTGGGCATAGTCCACAGGAGTAAGCTTCAATCAGTGAACAAGTGCAAACTTTGGCAAAGAGTTTTAATGGCAAAGTTGGCTGCAGCGACAATGCCACGCGGGGTAGGGCCAGAAGCCACAGTGGGCGAGAAAGGGTGAGCGGGCAACAGGACAGGGCCAGTTCCCTGAAGAAGCGGCGAGCAAGGGCCGGCAGGCAGTAGTGGGCAGCTGGACACTACATGATGGAACAGGCTGATAGTGGGTTCCGCACATGGCAGGTGCATGCAGCCCCACAGTACTGCCGGAAGGTCTGGTAGCAACTGCCTTCAGATTCACCCCCCCACTGGCCACCCGATGGGGCAGTCAGGGCTTCAGGTGGCAAGCGGCTCAGGATGGATGTGTTGACAGCCAGTGCAGCCAAGCCATAGTCAGTGAAGAGCACAGTCTCACGGTGGCAGGTGGGACATGAGATAAACTTGTACTTAGGACAAGACTCGTAAAGAATCTGCAGGCACTGCTCACACACAGAGTGCAGGCAAGACAGCACACGGGGCCGCCGCTGAGTGACGTTGTATGTGTGCCCACAGGTGGGGCATTCCAGGGGCTCACCTGCTATCACTGGCCCAGATGATGAAGGTGCAGAGGCTGTTGGGCCAGGTCGAATCACATATTGATTTACAATGACCTCATCCACTGGTGCCACCCGGGGGAAGCCCAATTCAGAACTGCCCTTGCGGGGCCGCCTTGGCAAGGGTGGAGTGTGGGGTGCTCCTTCCAAGGTAGGCATGTCCCCCCCACATGCCTGGTTGACAATGATCTCTGTGTCTGAGGGCCAAGCACGCTTGGGTGCCAGAGTGGGAGTGGGCCTGGGTGCAGGTGGGAAGCAGGGGGTGGCCGCCGGGAGCTCAGGGAACTTTTCAGGGTGGACAATCTTCATGGCCTCCATTTTGAGGATGACATGGGGGCCTTTCAGGCAGGACATGAGGAGGCCCGGCCATCCACTGCCCACCTCGGGCCCAGGGTCAGCTGGCATCCGGCTCTCTACAGTCAGACCGGACGTTGGCACAGGTGGGGGTGTTGGGTGGGGCCGTGGGGGAAGAGAAGGGGCTGCATCCTGGTCCTGCCAGGCCTGGTGAGGACCCCGGTTACTCCGTGGACTGCAAGGGGCAGCAGGTGACAGGTTGGGGGGCAGGGCCCCCCCCAGTGGCCACAATGGCTTATCTGGTTCAGTCCGAAGAGGAGGAGGAGGAAGAGGAGGGGGAGGGGGAAGCAGGCGGGGGCAGGGGGGTATGGGAGGCTGTCTTGGACTGTGGGGCTCACCCAGGGGCTCACCCAGGGTCTCTGTCTGCTGAGGCTGGCAAGGGGGCGTGGAGGGGCCTCCTCCTGCAGCAGAGGTCAGCAGTCCCTGGGCCGGGACATCTGGGCAGGCAGGGGCTAGGTGGGCCCCATGGCTCCAGGACAGGGCGCCCAGGGAAGGCAGCTAGCCTGATCCCTGGCTGCCGGAGGACCTGGGCTGCAGGCTCCGCGGCAACAGCAATGGAGAGGCCTGCACCAGGCCCGAGCTGCGGGTGAGAGACAACGTGAGGGCAGCATGGGGCCCACCTCACTTTCGCCCTCACCCCCACCCTGCACAAAGGACAGGGTGCCCGACCTCTGACCCTGACCTCCTCCGTGGGATCCAAGTCTTCATGGAATTCTGAACCCAACCCCCTCCCCAGTATACCCTCCGAGGCCAGATTCACTGTCTGGAGGACTGACCCTATGAGAGAAGGAAGGAATGATGCGTTTGACCCCCCGCCCCTCCCCCCGCTCACCTGCCCCAGCCTGGCGTTCCCGGGCTGCGCCGCCGCAGCAGCAAAGGTTGTCTCAAAGGCAGGCCCGGATGCGGCGCTCGCACCTTGGCTCTCCCGCTCTAGCGGCTCCGAAAGCTCTCGCGGCTCCAGCGGCGACCTCGGGCGATGGCGGGCGAAGGCGGCACCCAGGGGCGCGAGCGCTGGTGCTGGACGCAAGGCTCCGCGCGGTGGCGGCGGCGGCGGCGACAGCGGCGGCGACGGCAGCGGCAGGTGCGTGCGGAGCGTGGCGCGTTCTGCGGCGGAGGCGCGGGGACCGCAGTGCGCGCGGCGCCCGCCCGCGCCCGCAGCGCCACCCCCCGTCTGGGGACCCGCGCGGGGTCCACGGGGCGGGGCCAGTCTCCTAGCCGCCCCTCGATCCACTCCTGGCCTGGCGTCTGCTCTCAGGGTCGACCTCCCAGCTAGCTACAGGCGGGTCAGGATGCCGGTGTCGCCAACATTCCCTTCCTTCTCAGCTGACACTCCAAGGGGCCAAACCCTCCGCCGAATTTTCTAAGGGAAACCTTCACTTTTCACTCCCTCACATTTTGAGCCTCACAATGCCCGAGCAGGGGTCCCAGCGTTGCACCAGTGTCTCGCCTGCCTTTCGAGCTCTGAAGGGGCAGGGTCCTTTCACTCCAAACCCCGACACACCCCCTGTGTGAACGCCGGGAGTTTTCCAACTCACTGATGTATCCACATTGCACCCAAGACTCATCAACTCAAAGAGGGTGATATGTCAGTAAAAGGGATAAGGGGTTAAGCAGATACCAGAGGAGTGGACTGAGGGGAGTTGGGGGAGTCACGAGGAGGCTCGGACAGGCTTGGGAGTCCACGCGTTGGGTGGAGGGCCCCACTGAGCACTCACCTGCCTAGGGTGGAGTAGCCCTTTCTTGTATCGCATCAGGTCAGCACGTGCGTCTACGTCTCAGTTATGTACTAAACTGACCCCACCCTGAAGAGGCCCCATTCTTTTCGTCTTCCTCCTTCTACCTGGTCCTCTTCTACCTGGGCTACACCTTTGCCTCAAGGGAGCCCTCCGTGAGGAAAGGACAAAGGACACGCTGGTGACCAAGGTGTCTACATGTTCAGCATGCCATTCTTTACTACCTCATGGCCACCATGCAGCATGGTGCCATACCTGTGACCAACACTGAGTCCTTGCCTGACCCTGGACAGTCCTGATTTCCTTCAGGCCACAGCCCCTCTCTGCAATCCAGACGAAGGGAGCAGTGTAACTGGTGAGCCAAAGCAGGGCCAGAATTTACAGCTCTATGGAACCAAGTACGTACATCAGGGCTCCTTCAGAGAGAAGGGGTCGGGTGCGGGGTTGTGGAGGGGAGGTGTCTTGTGGGATCCTGGCATCATGCAGGGGTAACTCAGGTAGTTGTGGCCACTTACAGCCCCACCCTTTGCCTAGAGTCCCACCCCGTGAAATAAAGCCACGCCCCGTGGGAGAATAAGCGCTCCGCCCATTCACCCCCGTCCCCCTTGCTGAGTGGAGCAAGGCAAGGATTCATCCAAACCGGGTCTTTTGGGAAACCCTGGAGCGCGAAGGCTTCTGGGGAATTAAGTTTCCACTGGGCACCTCGGCTGGGTTTACGCATGCTCGCGGCTAGGGGCGGAGTCTACACGGGTGGTGGGCAAGGTTAGGTTCCTACGGAGAGAGCTGTTTTCCACCTCTTACGCATGTTTCCCCCAGACCCATTTGCTTCTGCTTGCTAAGTTGCTCAACCTGCCTGACTGGCTCTACGCAGACTACTCATTCACCCTGGCTTGCTGTCCCTGTCCTACTTGGTATCTCCTTCCTGGTGTTTTCCCTAATGGTGCCCGAGCTGGTCCCACTGTAGTGTAGACCCAGAAGAGATCACCGGTTGACCCATAAGCTTGCAACTATTGTTTCACCCCTAGTCCCACCTCCATTCTTCGTGTCCCCTATGGGTGAGGAGGTAAAGAAGCAAAAGGGTGTCAGGGCCAAGAATGGGTGCAGGGGACAGAAAATTTTGGGGAGCTTTCACCCCAGCTCACCAACACAAGGAAACTACAGTTTCAGAAACAAGCTGAAATGTCACCAAATTGTAAAATAAGTAAAGTATATCTACAAAGTTGTGTCAAACTTTTTATTATTGTTGTTAAAGTGGACAACCCTCCAAGTAGTCTCAAGTTCCAGTATCTGCTGGGTATGGGCAGTAGGTGGCAAGGAGGAACTCTGGACAGTAGCTGTAGAAATGGGCATCTGAAGGCCCCAGAATCCAAAGGCCTGCCTCCACTTCCTTCCTGAGGCCATGACCCACGGAGGTAGGACATGCTCAGATGAATGGTGGTTGACTCACTCTAGATTGGCAAATGCCCCTTAGAGCCCAAACCTTGGCCTCCACCCATCTGGGAATGAGGGGTGACTGGCTGCTGTGCTCTAGTTGCTAAGGCCTCTTGGGATCTTGGGAACCCCATCTTTGAGCTCCACCCTAAGGCTCCACCCCTCTCTAGGAGGGAAAAGGCACCTGCTGGCAGCTCTCTACTCACAGGCACTAGGACCTGGAGCTGGTGGACTAGAAGACATACTGCTGCTGCTGCTTACTGCAGGTGAGTCCTTGCTCCAGCGACTGACCTGTACTTAGAGGTACCTCCTGGACAGCCCCTACTCTCCTTCGGACCAGCTCACCAGTGTCTCCTAGCCTTTTATCCCCATTCCCAGCTGCACCCAAGAGCATTTCTTGGATATTTGGTGGAGGGTGGCAACTGGGTACTTGGGTCTAACCTCTAAGACACATAGTCCCTGCGTATACTCTGATGTCTCCACATCTGCATGCAGACCCCTCAGTGACATGGCTCTTCACAAGGCAGGCTCCTCCTACATGGTGTCTTCTTGAGCTACAGGCTCTTACGCAGATTTTCTGTTCCCTGGGTCCATATATGTGTTTCTGCTCACCCCTGCAGCCTGGGCCATGGACCCCCATGAGATGCTTTCGAAGAATCCATATGCCCACATCAGCATCCCTCGGGCTCACCTGCGGTCTGACCTGGGGCAGCAGTTAGAGGAGGTTCCCTCTTCATCTTCCTCCTCTGAGACTCAGCCTCTGCCTTCAGGAACCTGCACCCCAGGGCCAGAGAGTGTCTTGCAAACTGCTGAAGCCCCAGGGCCCAAGGGGGTCAAGGGTGTCAAAGGTACTGCTGAGCAGAGTCAACAGACCTGGCAGTCACCCTGCAATCCCTATAGCGGTGGGCAGCGTCCATCAGGACTGACTTATGCTGGCCTGCCGCCTGTGGGGCGTGGTGATGACATTGCCCACCACTGCTGCTGCTTCCCTTGCTGTTCTTGCTGCCACTGTCCACGATTCTGCCGTTGTCACAGCTGTTGTTGTGTTGTCTCCTAGCCTGGCTATCCAATATCCAGGGTTATAGGGCCCAGGCCTCAGCCCAATGCCAAAGTGGTGCTGGACATCAGGAGTAGCCATTGTCATGGGCATCAGCCACTTCCTACTCTGACGGGAGCCTGTCCACCAGAAAGGCTCAACTGGTGCCCTCTGGAATAGGGTCCCAGCCAGGTTGGCAGCAATAAGGACACCCTTCACTTCCTACAAGACTTTGGCAATAAAGCGGGGTGAGCATTGCGCCAGTGACTCTTTTTTTTTTTTTTTTTTTTTTTTTTTTTTTTAACCAGGGATGCATTTGGGAGAGGGTCCTAGTCTGGACAGCTACTTTTATCCTCAAATACACAAATACAGTCTCCCCAGTAGGCTCCCAGACCCTGTGGAACCTTTCAGAGACTAGAAAGCCACTGCCTCATGACATCCATAATTTAGGGCCCTTGCAGGTTCAGTCCACCCAGGGGCCTGTAGGTGGTAATATGTCCACTGCCCTGGGCCAGGTCCCAGTTCTCCCTAGGGCTAAAGCTGAGATAGTAAACAAGGTTAACCAAGTGAGTCAAGTCACAAGGTGGGGGTGCCATACTTGCCACTGTGGGGGGTTCCCACTCTGGGGGAGGATCAGGTTGGAGGGCTGTTGGTGGGTGGGGCTGATGTTAGCAGGTTTCAGGGAGTGGGAGCTCAGGATCCAGGGCCCAGAACCTAACCCTGCCCAACATGAGTCACCTCCCAGCCTCAGTCAGGGCATGTTTTTGGTTTCCCACAAAAGAGAATTTCTACAATCCAGAGCTCTGCTGTTTAACTTATTTCGAGTGATGTGTCCGAGGCTTTGAAGATGAGAGAGGGAAGGGTGAGGGGAGTTTCTTGTCTGTCCGAGCAGTGTAAGATGCCTGATGGGGACTATGTATGAGATACCAGGGTAGGGAGTGCGCAAGCAGGCCAGCTCTGGGCAGCCTGGTGTTTCCCGAGCAGGGCAGAGCCACAGTGCCATGTGAAGAGGGAGGAAGAGCTGGCCTCACAAGACAAACGAGTCCTCCTGAAGTTGGCCCTCTCCTGATGCACAGACAGGTCATGTAAGAGGACAGGCTAGATGTGTAGTATGTAGAGGTCTCCAGGTCATTGCCCTGACTCTCCTCTCCAAGCTCCTTGTCTCCTGTTCTAGTGAGGGCCAGCATGGGAACCCGGAACCCGTTTGGCCAGTCTTAAAGGCAGACTGCCAGGCAGGTGGGTAAAAGGGAGTAAGGAGGCTTGCTCTGCTCTTTGGCTTTCTCCTAGCAACCCTGTGTGCAGTCCTAAGGGTCCTGCCTGCCTGTCCCAACTCAACTGGGTCTCTCTCAATCTGTGCTGTCTCCAGTGGGATCACAGGGAACAAGGATCACTTCCCTGGACTGTCTGTCTGGACCATTGCAAAGGCTGAGGGTCCCAATAGACAGTCAACTGGGAGGTGCTTAGGATGGGGAGCCGGGGGTTTCTGGGACGATGGTTGTGTGAGAGAATCCTATCTGAGTACCACCTCAGGGCCGGCAGGCAGGCTCCTGTGACATCACAGGATAGACCTAGTCTAGGTAGGGAGGGAAGTTATTCTGAAAAGTGCCACAAATTAGCAAGAATATGAACCCTACCCTGGAGCTAGTGGGGGTGGGAGTAGGTTCCCTGGGAGGTGGTGTGAGCTGAGGCTGAAGAGTGGGCATCACTCAGGCCAAAGCAAGAAAACATTACAAAAGGGGGACCAAATGAGAGGAGGGAGGGCTTGAGCCTGAGAGAAAGGATGAGAATGGGGAGAACACAAAACTCTGGGGACATCTAGGGTGGGGAAAAACAAAGCCAGATCTCTAGGAGTTACAGAGGGGAGTGGTCTGGACAGCATCCGTTCTGCAGGGGGCTGGCTCACCTTATCTCCTGCCCAGTGGGTGGTGCATCAGATCCAGTTGCAGGCGCTTTGTAGCTGAAAGGGGAGTCCATTCTCAGTTGAAGCAGCCACCACCTGCCTCCTGCTGTCTTGCCTGTGTGGCTAGTAATGCGAGCCCAAGGAAGGAGCCATGAGGTGTCCAGGGTCCCCACCCCCTTCTCCTGCAATCCTCTAGCTGGGAATATCTTTCTGGTGGAGTGGATGCAGGTAAGAGAAGCCTGGGATTCAGTAAGGCTAAGGGCTGGGAGAAGCAGCTGTGAGACCTCAGGCAAGACCCCTTGTCAGAGCTGGCTCTCTATAGTACCCTTCTGTGATGCCTGTTGAAGAGGTGGCTTTGTGCTACAGCAGACACTCTCAGAATAGTGTCTGGAAGGGTCTCAACAGTGGGATACAGTGCTGTTTCAGTCAATGGCCACAGAAACGAGAGATATGCCCAGACTTGGTGTAAGCCCAAGACTACCACCTTTCCTCCAGGTATGCAGATACTTACTGTCCCATAGCCATGTCTCCTGTCTAATGGGGGCTAGCATGGACCAAAACATCACATAGGTGGGAAGAGGTGGACTGTAGCTTGTGCTGTTGCCCTGTTGGTTCCCTCATAATTTCCCTAGGATGCTGCAGCCTGAAGTTCCCCAAGCCTCGGAGGAAGGGGCAGCCCTGACGGCCCCACGGAATGACTGCATCATCTGCTACTCTGCATATGACCTCTCAATACACTTGCCTCGCCGTCTCTACTGTGGCCATACCTTCTGCCAGGCATGCATGCGGCGGCTGGACACTCCAGCCCACGAGCAGCACTGGATCCCCTGCCCACAGTGCCGTCAAAGTACCCCTATGCCCCGAGGAGGGGTGACCATGTTGGACCTGGACCTAGCTGCCTTTCTGGCAGTCAAAGCTGAACAGGAACCATCAAGAATAGAACCCAGGTCCTCTGTCCCCCTCAAAGTCAGCACCACTATTACTCAGCAGCCAGCCGGACTCTACCCCACCTTGGGCCCCCAACCCCACTTTCCTCAACCTGGATGCTGCTGCTGGGGCTGGGGAAGATTGTGTTGGTATCCCCCTGGGAACCCTGAGGTCTAAATTCTGGTTCTCTCCACCTCCACAAAGCAAACTATGCTAGCAGCAGTGCCTTGGAGCCACTGATCATACACCGTGCAAATGGAACAGCCTGCTAGCAGGGAATCCTTCTTATTGTCCTATATGACCCAACATAGTGGTGTCATCCTGACCAGGGACATCTCAGGTTATAGCCTAAGGTCTGAGTCAATGGCCATGGTGCCACAGTAGGCTGTCGACTTCCCATTATACTAGTCTAGATTCCCATAACCCAAACTTTGTTTGGCTACTCAACATTCTTCTTTCTATGTCACCAGTAAACCCAGGACGTAGTGACATAGCTCAGAGAGTGGCTCCTATGAGTCACTCCTATGAGTGGGGATGAGTACAGGGGCTGGGACAGGGCAAGGATATGGTTGTGCATGAGTGGCTGGCCTCAGAGCAGGTCTGCATCTCCATAGACATTCAGAGGTATGAGCCAGGAATGAGGGCAGGGTACCTCCTCTGTCCCCAGAGTCTTACATGTTTCATCTATTCCACAGTGGTCACTCACCTCCTACCATCAGCCAGGCACTATTCTAAGAATGCCTGCTGTAATACAAAGCCACCTCTTCGACAGACATCACAGAAGGGTACTATAGAGAGCCAGCTCTGACAAGGAGTCTTGCCTGAGCTCTCACAGCTCATCATCCTATCTCAGACATTTTGGTTTGGTTTGGTTTGGTTTTTTGAGACAGGGTTTCTCTGTAACTCTCTCTATAGACCAGGCTGACCTCAAACTCACAGAGATCCACCTGTCCCTGCCTCCCAAGCTCTGGGATTAAAGGCTTGTGCCACTACCACCACCAGGTTCAATCATCCTATCTCAACACTCCCAGCCTCCTTCTGCCTCTGGTGACCATAATAACACAGATCCATCTGTAGGTGCCAGAGGTTACAAATTGCTGACAAACCTCAGGCCAAAGCTGTTACCCTCCATCCCTCTAGGAAGGAGCTGTATTCAGGAGGCCCTCGGAGAGGCCTCCTAGGGAGTGGTTGTAGGATGGGGAGGAAAGAGAATTTGCTGAATAGACATCAAGAAGACTCCTTCCCTGGGCAAAGTCCCTCAAGCACCCAGGGACAGAGCTGGGCAGTGAGCAGAGCAGGGTGCTGGAGCCTACAGGGCTCCTGGGGAAACAGCTTGCAGGAGAGGGCCCAGTTTCCAACCCAGGGGCTAGAAGGGGACTGACCCACAAGACAGGACATTTCACAGCACATGGGCTCAGAATAGCACTCATCTGGGAAAAGATGCTCAGGTAGGGTTTAGGCAATGAGCACTGTGGGATGGGGAAGGGCTCTACACTCCTCCCTCCATCTTTGGAGATAGAGACTCTGTGTCCTGGCCTCCATGCTGACCTCTACAGAAAGCCCTTCTGGACCTAGCCCTACCCTTAAATTCAGATTTGAATCTGCTGACCAGAGAGCCTGGGTACCTTCCCAGGCCACCTGAGGAAATCTGTCTTCCACACCCACTTGGTGCAAAGGGCTTTCATCTCATCTCTGTCAGGTGCACAGATGACCATGATAAGGTTTGCAGAGTTCAGAGGAACATAGAAAGAGGAGGGCAACATTCTGGGGTCCCTAGGCAGCCCCAGCCAGAATGAGGACGTCCAACTTGGGTGGTGTAGTGTCCATTAAATGTATCAGATGCCTACTGGTGGCTGTAGTGTCTAGCTGTATTATCCTCCTGGCCAGATGTTGCCCATCCCCAGGAGTTTCACTCCAAAAGAGTTGGGCTAGGGGCTCAGAACTCCTAGCTGTAGGATGCCAAGAGTCTGACTAAGGCCTCGGGCCAGGCAGGGTCTCCCTTTGGGGGCCCCAGCTCCTGGGTAAACATTAATGGGGCTCCACACACTGCAAGTCATGTGCACACTGGGCAGATCTTTGACCTGAAGCTATTCCCGCTGTGCCTCCTCCTTGCTGGTGCCCCCTCACCACACATGCAGGTAGGAGCTCCTAGAACTAGACCAAACTAAGGGACACTGGACCAGAGCTGAGTGACCACCAGTTCCAGGGTTTGGGCACCATTCTGAACCCCTAGGACCTTAGAGCAAGTGAGAAGAACCTGGGCAGGCCAGAGGGAGGGAACACAAAGGACCCCTGGGCCTGAGCCAAGCACTAGGGAAGAGGTCAGGGTAGACTAGCATTCAAAGACTTTCAAACCTAGAGACCCATGGAGCCAGAGCTGCCAGAAGGGACCTGATGTGAGCAGGGGGCTCCCAAGCCCTGCTCCTAAGTT